GACCTGCTTAAGGCTGGGAAGCTGCCCGGAGATTTCAAGGCTTGGCCTGGGCCTGAGCAGCAGGTTGCCCGCCCCAGCCGATGGCCATGTTGTGATTGTCTTGTTGTTGGATGGGGCCCGTCGCGAGTGCTTGGGTGAGGGAAGGAACCCCATCTGGGCACTGGAAAAAACAAGGATGCCCCCCCCCCCCCCGAAATTTTCATTGGGGCTCCGCGATGTGGACTCAGCCCTTAAGTTAGGCAAGAGGAGGAGGAGGAGGAGGAGGAGGAGGAGGGAGGAGGAGGGAGGAGGAGGAGGAAGAGGAGGAGGAGCAGGAGCACTAGCAGGAGGAGGAGGAGGCAAACCGCCCCTTGGGGCTCTCGTGGCACGCTCTTGGGGCGCTCTTGGGCGGTGTTCGGGCTGTTGGGGGGCCCCCTTGGGGCTCTCCTGGGGCCCTCACGGGGGCCATGCAATTTCTCTTGGGGCCATCTTGTAGGGCGTCGATCAACGGGGGGGGGGGGGGGGGCTCGATTTGCTTCGCACTTCTGGAGCCTGTCGCCTCTCGGGGCCTTCTTGGGCCCCTCTTTTGGCACGAACGCCAATGGGGCCGTCTGGGGGGCTTCTTTGGCTTCCCCATGAGGCCATCTTGGGATAATCTCGTGGCCTTGCAAGCGCGTCGGATGCGAAAAGACGAGAAGGCACACATCATTGATATTTGCAGGATGTTGAACGATTTGGGCTTCTTGCGGGGTGCCTGAAAAGGAATCCGAGAGCACTGGGAACCGTCTTGTGCCCCTCGTCGGGCTTCCTGGAGGTAGAAGCTGAACACTTTTCGGCTACTTCGAGCCGCCTTTGGCGATCGTGGAGCATCGGAATCCCTCTCGGAACCATCTTGGGCGAAAAAGGACCTTTTGCTGCCTTGCGGCCGGCCCCCGAAACTCGCTGCGGCAACGGGCCCCCCCGAGTTCGGCGCCCTCGTGCGAGACGGGGGGCAAGATGGCAGCCGCGCTGCCAGTCGGTGGGCATACCAGGGCGGGCCAACACAACCCCCAACACCACTTGGGCAGAGCGCCGGCCGAACCATGCGCGAGGCTGGGAGGGGGGGCGGGCAAAGAAACGCCTCGTTTGTCCACTGCCGCCGTGGTTGTCTTGTCCAGACAATGCGCGACGAATGATGGGCGCTGGCTCGCTTTTTGGCTTGCCAGCGGCCAACCCCTTCTTGAGAGTGCGCGCCGAACCGCGCGGGTTTGCCTTGTCCGGGCAGGGGCCCGCCCTTTGTTCAGGGACTGCGGCTGCTGCGCGGTTTTGCCTAACTATCTTAGCAGGGGCCTGTTCTTGATGCAGGAACTGCGGCGGAATTTGAGTTTGCCTTATCCGAGCAGGGGCCCGCTCCATATCGGGTGGCCGAGCGTTGCCGCTTGCGTTTGCCATGTCCGCCTCTTGGGGCCTTTTGGGGGGCCTCTTGGGGGCCTCATGGGCCCTGTTGGGCGCATCTTGGGTCCCCCTGGGGCCGTTTCGGGGTGGAAGGCTCGGATTGTTGGTTCAGGCTCCCCCTCTTGGGCCCCTCTTTGGGCCGTCTTGGGAGCCTCTTGGGCCGTCTTGGCGCCCTCTTGGGCCGTTTCGAGCGCCTCTTGGGAGCCTCTTGGGCTGTTTCAGGGCGGTCTTGGGGGATTCTGGGGCCGTCTTCAACGCCGTGAAGGCCGAAAAGTGGTGCATGATAAAAGTGTACGTTGTCCAAGAAGAATCCGGCGATTTTGGCCTCTGGGACCCCTCTTGGGAATGCTCTTGGAGGCTTCCTGGGCCGTCTGGGAGGCTTCTGGGGCCGTCTTGGAACCATCCTGGGCGTCTTGGGCCGACCTTTGGGCGTCTCGGGGGCCTCTCGGGCCGTCGTGGGGGGCTGCTTGGAGCCCTCTGGGGCCTCGTGGGGCCTGATGGCACCTTTGCCCCCACGACACCCCCTCCAAACTGGCCGGACCGGGCTCCCGAGGGGGAGGAGTTTGGGGAGGTGGAAGCATGTCACACGCCATGACCCCAAGGGGTCGGCAGATTTACACTGTGTTTCCGTTGCCGCGGCGGATGAATTGTCCAGACAATTGCACGACGACCGTTGGGCGTTGGTTCGCCTTTCGGCTGGCCAACGGCCAACCCCCTGTTGAGAGTATGCGCCGAGCCGCGCGGGCCTGCCTTGTCCAGGCAGGGGCCCGCCCCTTGTTCAGGGACTGCGGCTACCGCGTGGGATTACCTTATCAAGGCAAGGGCCCGTTCTTTATGCACTAGCTGCGGCGGAATTTGGGTTTGCCTTATCCAGGCAGGTCCGCTTCCTATCGGGGAGCCGCCGAGCGTTGCCGCTTGGGTTAGCCTTATCCAGGCAGGGGCCCGTTCCTTGCCAAGGAACTGCGGCGGAATTGGGTTTGCCCTATCAAGACAGGGGCTCGCCCCCTATTGGGGAGCCGAGCGCAGTCGCAGGCGTCTGGTGCACGAGGACTGTTATTCCTTGGCCTTGCTCCGTGTCGGGGGGCCGAGTGAAGACGCGAGCACCCCCCTCGGGCGAGGCGTGTGAGCAGCGGCGGCAAAGCGGCGGCACAGCGGAGGAAGGCGGAGAGGCCGCAAGCCCGCCACTGCATGCCGACGGTGAACAAGCAGTACAGGCGAAGGTTCAGGAGCCCGTTCCTCGCGATTTCGCCAACCCTGATATTTAAGAGATACTCTCTACGCTTCATTCAGAAGCCCTGCCCGCGAGAGCTGACGGGAGAAGGGACGAAGGGACACATCCAGGGAAACAAAGCGAGCAACCAGGATGAACCGAGCGATCTCTGGGAGCAAGGGGGTGGCCTTGGAAGGCCTCTTCCTCATTGTGCCTCAGGCCACCTGTCGCCCAAAGGGCTGGTGGGATTTCTCAGCCATCAGCTGCTGCTGGTGCTGCTGGTGGTGCTGCTGATGTTGTTGCTGCCTCTGCTGGTGCTGCGGCTGGTGCCCTGGAAGGCCTGTTGGGGCCATCTGGGAGAGCATCGATCAAAAGATGGGGGGTCCTCAATTTCGGCCCCTTTCCAGGAGCCCCCAAAATCACCTCTTGGAGCTCTCCCGGGGCTCTTTGGGAGGGTATTGGAGCTCTCTTGGGGCTCTTTTATGGGTCTTGGGACCCTCTTGGGGCTCTCTTGGGGCCCTCTTGGGAGCCCTGGAAGGCCTATTGGGGCCATCTTGAAGGCCATCGATCAAAGGAGGGGATGGTGTAACGTTCAGCATCCCCCCCCTCCCAAAGAGGCCAAAATGGGACCAACACCGTAGTAAAACACATGATGTTGGCTTCATCGCCGAGGCATTTTTTGGAAGCCCTGACACCTCGCGGAACCCCCCCAAAAAGTCCAGGGGAGGGGGTAGAGGGACGGGTCAAGACTCCCTCCCCGCCCGCAAGCCGTGTCGCTCACTCCCACCCGCCCTCCCAACACATACGTAGCACCCGAGCCTGGCCCGAGCCGCAGCATATTCCGTAGGTAAACCCTTCCCCGTAGGGGAAGAGGGGTTTTTTGGAAGAGGGAAGAGGCATCTCATTAGACCACCTGCGCCCAGAGGGCTGGTGGGATTTAAGATTTTCTGCGAAAGCTCTTGGAGGGGAGGGATGGGCACCCACTCCGAAGAGAAGAGAGCTTTGGAAGAGGAAAGAAGAACGCGTTAGACCACCTGGTGGGCTGGGTTTTTCTTTGACGCGGGTGGCCCAGGCAGAATCCGGAACCATTTTTTGTTGATTTCTTTATTTTCGGATGTGCGTCTTGTTTTAGTTTGTTGGTATTGATGTTTTAGATATTGTCTGCGTTGTTGTTTGACTGGTGTCCGGGCTTCTGGAGAAGTTCGGAAGCTTCGACGTGCCCCAGGGAAAGGAATTCGGAGATTGCGGTGATCTCGCGCTTCTCGGTGCCTCTGCGGAGGCCAGCGGATTCCAGAGGGACCCCGCCCAAAAAGGCGGACAATACAGTCAACCCGCATAGTAAAAATGAGTGAATTCGCAACATTACCCTTGCATCCTTGCCCCTTCGGTCCATCCGTGGCAACTTTCCTGGTCAGTCCCATTCAAAAACACGTTTACATGGCTTTCCAAGGCTCTTGCACCCTGTCTGCGCATCCTTACTATATGGGTTGAATGTATGAGGGCGCGCTAGCCGTCCCATTCAGCAGCCAATGCAGAGTGTTCACGGGGCGCCCGTGCACGGTCCAGATATTTGGCCGTAAAGTGTGCGTTTAGCATTGCTTTGTGGCGGGGAGTGCGGGCCTTCGCTGGAGGTTCCCCCCCCGGCGTCCCTGTCAAAAGCAACTGCAGAGAGTGATCACGGGGCGCCCGCGCACGGTCCAGATTGTCGCACAAAAGCGTGGTGCGCATTTTGTTTGGGCAGGGACTGTGTTCGCACAGGGCGGGCAACATGAGGGTCCCCCCCCCCCGCCGTCCCTGTCAAAAGCCGGTGCGAAGTGTTCAATGGGGGTCCCCGCACGGTCAAGATTTTGCCGCAATGTGCATTTTGCATGGTTATTGACAGGGATGGCGGGGGAGGGGCCGTCGTTGGCCCAGGTTATTCGCCGGTCTCGCTTGTCGGATGGGGGAGGGGGTGCATATTAATGTGGAAAATTGATAAGCCCCTCCCTAAACCACCTACCCCCGTAAGGGCTGGGATTTTGACCTCCCCCCCTCCCCCCCCCTCGACCTGGAGTTGTTCCTCGTTCTCGCCATTTCTTTGGGGGGTCACCTGAGGGGGCGTGAAGAGAAAAACGCGTTCGGTGCATCGCGACCTGGACCAAGCCGTTTGCCTTTTTCCCATGGGGGCGCGATGGCGCACAGGTAATCGCGGCCTCGCGCATCGCTGGGCGATGCGAGAAGTTCGGGGGCCCAGGTCTTTGTCGCCGCCGTCGTCGTCCTCCTCATCTTCCTCCTCCTCCTCCTTCCCATTCCAGGCCACGATTCACATCCTCCTCTTCATCCTCCTCATCTTCCTCGTGGTCCCCCCCCCTGCCCCTCGCGCGCCCTCGCCCGCCAGCCACGGCTGCCCCCGCGGCCCCGCAACTGTGCAGCCTGGAGGACGCGTCTGCGCAGGGGGGAGGGGAGGTGGTCGGTCGGTCGGACTCGGCATTGCAGCAGTCTGCGCGCCGTCATGCTGAAGGCTATCTCAACGAGAGCCAGCGGGGGTACACTTGCAGCCACCGCCACCCTCCCCAACGAAGGGAGGCCCAGCCCTGAGCCCCAAGTATCCCAACGCAAAGAACCGAAAGGGCGGCGGACGGCGTGAAGCCCTAGAAGCGACAGTGTGGAAAATTATCCTGGCGAAGGTCCCAACCATATGCAGTTGTGGATACCGTAATTGTGAATATCTGCTTCGGTGAAACTCCCTATGGGGCCATGAAGCGCTGCACTGGGCGGGGGGGAACGCTGTACCGTGTGGGTGGTGTGCCGAATTGGGCTTCCGGGACGCATGCGGACGGTCCCACTGAGGGTTTCGGTGGAGCTCCCTATGGGGCCACGAAGCGCTCTACTGCGTGAGTGAAAATGCCAAATTGGGTTACCGGGACGCATGCGGACGGTCCCACTGGGGGCTTCGGTGGAGCCCGCTATGGGGCCACAAAACGCTGCACTGCGCGGGTGAAAATGCCAAATTACATTTCCCGGACGCATGCGGACGGTGGCACTGGGGCCTAGGGTGGAGCCCCCTATGGGGCCACGACACGCTACACTGGGTGGGCGAAAATGCCAAATTGGGCTTCCTGGACGCATGCGGACGGGGGCACTGGGGCCTTCGGTGGAGCTCCCTATGGGGCCACGAAACGCTGTACTGGGTGGGTGAAACGCAGGGGGGAGGGGGAGGAGGGCCACGAAACGCTGTACTGGGTGTGCGGGACGCATGCGGACGGTAGCGCTGGGACCTTGGGTGGGGCTCCCTATGGGGCCACGACACGCTGTACTGGGTGTGCGGGACGCATGCGGACGGTAGCACTGGAACCTTCGGTGGGGCTCCCCATGGGGCCACGAAACGTTGTACTGGGTGGGTGAAACGCAGGGGGGAGGGGAGGAGGGCCACGAAACGCTGTACTGGGTGTGCGGGACTCATGCGGACGGTAGCACTGGGACCTTCGGTGGAGCTCCTTATGGGGCCACGAAACGTTGTACTGGGTGTGCGGGACGCATGCGGACGGCAGCATTGGGACCTTCGGTGGGGTCCCTATGGGGTCACGAAACGTTGTACTGGATGTGTGGGACGCATGCGGACGGTAGCACTGGGACCTTCGGTGGGGCTCCCTATGGGGCCACGAAACGTTGTACTGGGTGGGTGAAACGGGGGGGACCACGCACTGCGGACGCATGTAGCACTGGGACCTTCGGTGGAGCTCCTTACGGGGCCACGAAACGCTGTACTGGGTGTGCGGGACGCATGCGCACGGTAGCATTGGGACCTTCGGTGGGGCTCCCTATGGGGTCACGAAACGTTGTACTGGGTGTGTGGGACGCATGCGGACGGTAGCACTGGGACCTTCGGTGGGGCTCCCTATGGGGCCACGAAACGTTGTACTGGGTGGGTGAAACGCAGGGAGGAGGGGGAGGAGGGCCACGAAACGCTGTACTGGGTGTGCGGGACGCATGCGGACGGTGGAGGAGGAGGGGGAAGAGGAGGAGAGAAGGAGAACGCGGGGACCGTCTCCTCAAAACGAGGACCCAACACCACAGGATGGTTGGGAGCAAGGGGATTGTTCAGTCGGCCAGGAGATGATATGAAAGAGAAGCGCAGCCAGCGAACATGCAGTGCTGTCGGCGCGCCTCACAATCTGGAGAATCACCACCAATGAAGGATCATCTCTTTGTTTAGAATAGTCTGTGACACAGGAGCATCAGCTGGTAGGTCGTAGGTCAGTACGCCCAAGTGATCATCAGCAAGGGCGGCAGGACAGCGAAGCATACAGTAGATCACCACTGTTACCTCGTCTCATCGCTGCTCCACTTCACCTTCATTGATTCCTGTTGTGTGCGCATTCGCCTGCAACGTGTGACGCCAAGAATACGGACAAGCCAAACAAAGCAGTCAAGAGAGAGAAGCCAAAGAGAGCGAAGTACAGTGGGAACCGGTGTTGCCAACATTCGCATTCGGACGGGGCTCAAATAATGCCATACCAGCAAGTCAAGAAGGTAGCAGAAACCGGTGAAGGTTCTGTAAACATTAGTCGGGAGCCCGTTCGGATGCAATGAACGTGATTGTGTTTGTGTTTGGTTTCAACGAATACGAGAAATCCAGGAAATCTTGTCACAGCTATTTTGTCCATAACTGTCTGGAGCTGTGGATCTGTCTTGAGGCCCGTGCGGGTTTCTTCGGTCGGCGTTGGACCCCCCATGTCCCGCGTCGAAACGCACCAGCGGCGGCGTCGGATGCGCGAGATGCGCCGAAAGGGGGCCAGCGCCGCCCAAAGAAATTGGCACGGACTTCCAACAGTTCTTGTTCATGTTTCCGCCGTCTCTTGTTCTTCGAATTTCTTTGATCCTGGTCCCTCCTCCCTCCCCTCCTCCCTCCTCCTCCTCTCCTCCCCCCGCCTCCTCCTCCTCCTTCTCCTCTTCCTCCTCCTCCAGCTCCTCCTCCTCCTCCTCCTCCTCCTCCTCCTCCTCCTCCTCCTCCTCCCTCCTGCTCCCTTTGGATGCGCAGGACGCGATGGGGTATTGCGAAGGGGCAATGGCGCCAGTCGAGAAGGCAATGCGGAGGCTGGAGGTGGCCACCCCACGCCCCCACGCAAATGCGCGAAATCTGGCTGATTCGTTCTCGTCGTCGTCGTCGTCGTCGTCGTCCTGCCCTCCCCCTCCCCCCTCCTCCTTTTCCCTCCCTCCATCCTCGTCGTAGTTGTCATCGTCTTCGTCCTCGTCCCCCGTGCTGACTTTGGCTCCAGTGGCCGGGTGCGCGAGCTCGTGTACCCCCCTGCACGCCGCGCCCTGCTCGGTTGAGTGGTTCGTGGGGGAGGGGGGAGGGGGGCGTGGGCAGTGCATGCACGCTCACGTGAGCCAGCGGGAGCGGACAGGGAGAAAAGGGCGGAGATGGGTTCCCTGGCGGTCGTTTGTTTATCCCCTGGCGGTACGGTAGGTTCGCGTCGTGTCGACCCGCGGCGATCCCGCTGCCAGCGCCATTCAATGTTGCACGCCGCCGGCGACACAGAATCGGTCGATGTTGAACGATCTGACAAAATGCCGATCGTTCAAGGTTGAACGACTTGCGCGGCATCGACGCTAGGGTATCGGAGACACCTCCGCCAAGGTTCACTTAGCTGCAGATGTCTTTCGGTTCCCGAAACCTAGCCACCGTTTCAAGCACCTGACCTGCAGGCGTGGGCTTCACATGTGGTTGCGTTAAAGTGGGCATCCTGCGTGGAAAGGGTCTTGCGCCATGAGGCAGGTGGCCTAATCCTCTTGACTGACTTCTGGGCAGGACGTGGGGTGGCCAGAAAAGGCCGAGGCTGGAGGAGAAGAGGAGTGAATCATATTTTAACTCTTCGGTGTCCCCACTTCTTCCCAGACGCATGACATGTTTTGCGCGCATGGGGTATATTTGGCTTCCCCACGTTGCGTTGTACTCCCCGCGGCTCACATGGACGGGCTCTTCGTCCTCTCTCTCCCATCTCTCTCGCCATGCTGTGCGCAGCTCTCAAGACGCGCGCGTCTCTCCCCTGGCGCTGCAGCAAGGACGCCCTCCTCACCGCCCGCGCTGCCCGCTGCGCAGCAGTCGCCGGTGATGGGCCGATTTTCCACCACCACCACCATCTGGAGAAGGAAGAGGAGGAGGAGGAGGACCTCCCCATTCTACCTTCTCCCCCGTCCTACCTGTGGTAGGTGTGGTGGCAAGTTGGCCTATCAGCCGGTGCATCCCAGAGCCCAGGCGTCTGCCGAGGGGGCGTGGGGCACATCACTGCGTGGGCCAGATGGTGAGGGCCGCCCACGCGTCGGCGGCGCGGGCGGCAAGGTCCTCCGGGTTGGCCCCATCGTCGCCGTTACGGGGGTTGCGAAAGGTGCCCCTGACCCCCTGACCCAAGGAAGGTGCACCCAGCTTTTCGATCCCTTTTGGAGCACCCGGGGCCCTCTGGTCCTCGTGGGGGGTGCTCTGGAGGCAGCGGCGCTCCCTGGAAATCCTGGGGGCAGCCCAGGAAGGCCCCACCACGGCACGCGTGCGCGCCTGCCGGCCTCTGCGGGCCGCTCCAGGTAGCCTTGAGCCAGCACAGCAGCGGCCTGGCTGCGGAGAGAGGAGGGAGGATCAGTATCCTTTGGCCGATACCCATCTCCGTCTCCATCCCCATCCTGAGCCCCACCATCAAACCACCCCAGTGGGGGATATGCCAATCGAAACGCGAACGGAACAGCGACGGTTTCGGCAGCTAATCATGGGAGCCTTGCGTATACCCTCGTAATTCAGTCTATTAGCGTCGGCTAGCGTCGATTAGCATCGGGTAATCGAAGAGATTGTGCCGATATAGCGTCGATTCGCGTCGGCAAGCGTCGATTAGCCTTGATTTAGCGTCGATGTAGCGTCGACTTAACGCCGATGTAGCGCCGATCTAGCGTCGATTAGCGTCGACTTTGCGTCGATTCAACGTCGATTTAGCGCCGATCTAGCGTCGATTTGCAAGAGTCAACAAGAATGTATGAGAGGCTCCCACGAGTTGCCGTAGAAGGCAGAAGATCGGCGTCACCCCAACATACTAATATTGTGTGTGCGTCGCCCCCCCAGGGGTGACGCGTGCACCAAGAAATCTTATACTATATGCGTGGTGGCCGGCGCTTTCTGGCCACACCGCTGGGAAAACGATACATTACAGTCAGGTGATTAATTTGCGAGTGAGAATTTTGACGAGGTGCGTCCATCTAGTGACTGTAATTCGTTTAGACCGTGGTGGAGGCGTGGCTCCCTCTAGCTGCCCACTCATGCGACAGCCGTTGAATCCCCCCACGCGACCGACCGGCCGACCGACCGAACGACGACCGACGGCGACGACCGACGAATGACAACGACGGCGACGACAACCGACCGACACACCGAACGAATGATCGAGCGAACCAGCGGTCGAGCAATCGAGCGACCGACAACGACCGACCGAGCGATCGACGACGACGACGACGACAGACCGGCCGAGGGATCGACGACGACGATGACCGACTGGCCGACCGAGCGATCGACGACGACGACGACGACATCGACCGACGACGACGCGACGACAGCAACGACCTACCGACCGACCGACCGACCAACGACGACCGAACGACGAGGACGACGACCGACAGCGACGACCGTTGAACGACGACGACAGACCGACCGACCGACCAACAGCGTCGAACGACGATGACGAGACGGACGCCGTCGCAAAATTCTAGAAGGTCAAATCTAGAAGGCCGAGGCAACATTCTAGAACGCCGGGCTGCGAACAATTCTAGAAGGGAGCGTTTTGAGGGTGCGGTCCCCACTCCCCCTCCCCCCCTGGAGACGGGGGTTCTGCTTTTAGTAATGTATGTGTCGATATACAAATATATGTATATTTACACATATTTATATAACGACATGTATAAAAGGGAAGAACCGTTGCAGGCGAATGTACCACCTCGTATTTCGAAACCTGCAAACACCTACGGTTTTGAGACCACCCGCTGGTGCCGAATGAACCGCGAATGAACCCCCGAATGTACCAGAATGTGCCCCCGACGGAACCCTCCCTAGCTTCCCAGACGGACCTCGACTCGACCCCCCAGACGTCGTCGTTGTTAGTTGGCCGTCGCGATGGTTTGTCGTTGTCGTGAATCGTCGGTCGTCGTCTTGAGTCGGTCCGACGGTCGTCGTCGTCGTCCTCGTCGTCGTCCTCGTCTTCGGTCGCTTTGGCTATGGATGCAATGAGGTTGAGAACATGGCGTTGGAACCAAAATCTGTCCGATATGGTATGCCCATTCACATTTTACTACCAACAACAGTCACCTGACTGTGCAAGATGGGTGATGGGTACACTGAATGTTCGAGTCGGACGCGCGTCTCCAAGGAGAACACGTAGTACTGGTATGTCCCAGTGCGTCCCAGAAGAGGACGACGACGCTTCCTTCTGGCCCGCCCCCTCTGGACTGCGAGCGCCAAAGGTGCGGGCCCCCGGGCGACGAGCTCCGGGCTTCGTCGAGGCCGCGGTGCAGACGGAGGAGGCGCCGACGAAGGCAGGCCTTGGGACCGCAGCTGGACGAAACGTGGAACCCGTGGCTCCGACCCTCCCCCCCTCCCTCCCCCCAGATTCAAAGTTGGTCCCAGGCATTCGGTAGCACAGACGTGAGAGGACAGGAAAGTGGAACCTCCAGGGCCTCCGCGCTGCCCGACCCAATATTGAATCTGGGGGGAGGGGGTTGGATCGAACATGGGGTCGAACCTGAAGGGGATCTACCTTTTGTCCCCTTACCAGACGGGGAACCTGTTGCTTCTCTCACCCAAGCAGGTTCCATTTCTATTCGATCGATCCGATGCGACACCGATTCGGCCGATCCGATCCGATTCCGATAGTTCTGGCGATCCGATGCGGCCTGATGTTGGCACGGCGCTGTCGTGCATCCTGGCGCAGCCGATCCGATTCGGTTCCGACTCCGTGCCGATGCAGCCTGATCCGACGTTCACCCCGATTCGATCCGAATTTCAGATTCGATGTTGACTGATCTTGCCCGGGACGAGGCCTGAGGTCATGCGTCTCTCAGCCTGCTGTCTCTCCTCCTGCTCCTTCCTCCTGCTGCTGCCTCTCCTCCTTCTGAAGCGGGTGCGGGGAGGGCGGAGCGGGCAGGGAGAGAGCGGGGAGGGACAAGCCAGGTGCGCTCGCGCCTCATCTGACATCCTATCCCTCCCTCGCATCCATTCCCATCGCGTTGATGTATTTCTCTATCCGCGGGCGTGTGTCATAGCCGACCTGCAGCTCCAACAAACAACAACACATCGTGTTATGCGCAATCGGAAACGGGGATCTGCGCGCACAGGAGGCGAGCAGGAGGATGAGCGGGAGGAAAAGGACGACGCCGCACAGCAGTAGCAGGGCTCGGAGTGGAAGGAGCGGGAGGAACAGGATGACCAGGGCAAGGCGGAGGAGGGGACATGAGGCTGAGGCGGGCGGCAATGATGAAGAGCTCGGATTCGGATAAGCGGCCCGCGCTGGGGCGACCAGTCGCGCCGATCCGAAAATGGGGCCCACGCTGAAGCGGGAGCACAGTTTTGGAGTAAACAACCATAAAACAAAATCATGTTTGAAATCCTGGTGTGTGAAAGACAGCACGCGGAGAGGGCCGAGTATCTTCGGGGCTGTGTAATTGTGGACTGCCGCAGAAAAGCCAGAGGATGTTGGATTGGGAGATGGGGGGTACCATGCCGGGTTTGTAGGATAGGGGGCCGCGAGGCTGGCGGGAGAATCGGGGAGGGAGGAGCGCTTGGAGAAAGGAAGGTGTGAGTTCGAACAACGACATCAACTTATGCACGTTCGGAGGTCCACACCTTTAACGTCCCCTGCGTCGGCGAGGGATCCCCCTGGCGGCGCCATCGGCAATGCCACTGGCGCGCTTCACGCGCCGGGGGGGGGGGTCAGCGGGAACCTTTGGGGGATTTGGGGGGCTCATTGTGGCCACCTTGCTGCCAACCATGACTTCTCTCAACGACCAGGCCATCATTTGGAGCGGTTCGGGGGACGTCTTCGGGCCATCTTGGGCCGTCATTGGGGCTCGTTCTCTTGGACATTCTGGGTGCCCGTTGAGTCAGTTTTGGTGAGATTTTCGGGGCCTCTTGGGCGGTCCTGGAAGCCTGGAATTCCGAAGAACAGAGCACCTCCAAATCGTACAAAAATCCGAGCGAACATCATTATTTGTTTCGTGTGCATTGCCCCTTGGGGGTCTTCTTTGGGTCGTCTTCGCGCGTCTTGGGGGTGTCAGGGGGCCTCTCCGGGCTCTCGCGGGGCCGTTTGGCCGCCCCCCTGACGGTTCTGGCCCTTTTCGTAGGGCCCAGCAAGAGCATAGGTCTGGAAAACCGAGGGCACCCTCTGCAGGGCGCCCACGGGTTCCCCATGACCAGGGATCCGAGGATCCGCTTTTGGGGGGAGGGGGAGGGGTGTCCGATTCTTCTGGTCAGTAAAAATACCATGACAGGAACATCTGGCCTTCTTGTCGGCATCCTCCCGATTTGGTCTGTGCAGATGTTTGCTCGTGCCTGATGGCGTTCGGCCCATCCCGCCACCGTGCCTGGGTTGTGGGTCACAGGCCTCCAGGATGTTCTCTGGGCTGTCGTGGGAGGCTTATCGGGTTTTGAAGCCTCTTGGGTCCGTTTTGGCGTCTCTTGGAGCATCTTGGAGGCCTTTTGGGGCCTCTATGGTGCCCCTCCCATGCACATTTAGCATGCGCAGCGGGGGCCTGCTTTTGTTGACCGATGCGCCTCGCACCCAGGTCGAGAAGTATTTCGTTCGAGACCTCACACTTGAGAATGTTTAGTCCAGCATGGCAAAGCATCTGGAGGATCGCGAGCACCCGAGGGCCCCAGAAATCGTGGAGAGGGGCCCGTGGATTGAACGACCGAAAACATGTTGGTCCAACCGCGGGGAAGCCAACCCCCGCCATGATTGTGACGCAGCATACGCGACTGCGAACACATTGCGCGAGTGGAAGTATGAGATTTCTCCAGTGTGATTGTTTGCCGCTCGCCCAATGGAGGATCAGTTGATTCTGGCTGGCACCGTTGCTTCGCCTGCCCCGGCCTGGCGGACAAGCGCACGGAGCGCTTAAGTGCCATTTTGATGCGAAGATGATGGTTTCCACGGCAGTCTATGGTAGCCCGTTCCAGCAGATATCATCCCAGATGCTTGAGGCGGTGGAGTTCGGCGCGTCGACAGGTCGGGGGGCACGCCGAGGTTCTGTCGGGGCAGAGGATTGGATCTATGCAGACGGGAGCTGTCACAGCCCGAGACACGTCCTAGTTGCCAGGGCGGGATGGGCTGTCGTTCAAATCGATGAGGATGAAGATTTCGTTTTGGGTGTTCTGAAACTTCCAGGATTTCTGCCGCAAGGCGCCGTGTTTGCCGAGCACAATGGGTTGCTCTAGGTCTTCGAACGCCGCCAAACGCCAGGAGTGGGACGCTCAGGGCAAGCAGCGGGTGGAGCACCTAGGCCTCACGGCGGTGCCGGCAGACCCGTCCCAGCCCATCCTCCCCAGGGGGGACTGGAAAAAGTTGCTCACTGCCCTCGCGGTCCTCGCTTCGTTCCCGGGGGCCGTGGACGTGCGCGAGCGGCTCAGCGTGGCATACGTCCGCCGACTGTGGAGCTGGGCAGCCCCGCTGGTGGCACCTGTTCCCCGCACAGTGCCAGGCCAGCTGTTCCGGGCAATCTTACGTTCAAAGTGCACGTGGTGGTGCCACGTGCGATGGTGGGCTCAGCGCATCATGCTGCACCCGCTCCTCTCGCCGGCCATCCTTGCTGTTAAAGCACTGGCCCGTCCGTTTTTGGTCTGGAGCCCTAATGTACGACGAGCAGTCGCCGAACATTTAAAGCTTCTGGGTTTGACCACTGGCCGGTTCGAGCCCGAGTGGGGCCTTCAGGTGTTCGTGGGCCGCAACGATTCGTATCATATTCTTCAAGTTACTGCCGGCATTCGCCGCTACGACTGGTCTTTTTGGACGTCTTCACCCTCGGCAGCGCACGTCCTGCGCGCAGTGGCACGCGTACGTTGTCTCGAAAGCGTACACAGTACGAGGCTTGACGCCGCTGGAGTGGTCCGCGTCGACGTGGACGCCTCCAGCACCGCAGTCTGGGCCAAGTGGCACAGATCGCTGTTGCGCCGCGACGAGAAGTTCCTCGACATCTTCCGGTCGGGGGCCACCAAGACGCCGACGCGGGGGGGCGAGGCAGCGCCGTGCCCATGGTGCCGCCAGCCGCTCGCCAGCCTCCGGCACATGTTCCAGGACTGCCCGCACTTCGACACGGAGCGCGCAGCGATCGCCAGAGATCTACGCCTTCCTCCTTCCTTCTGGCGCACCCAGCCCCGGGTGACGTCCAAATCCGGATGGATCACCTACGATGCGGGGAGGACCCCGGAACGACGCGGAACCATGCAAGTGGCAGCGTGCCGGCTTGGGCTGGCCATCGTCGCCGCTACGTTCGACCTCAACGGCGGCTCCTCGTTCGACTAGAAGTTCGCCCTCTTCTAGCACCACTCCAGAGTTAGGGTGGCTTGCTATCAGCAGGTGTGTCCTCGAACGCTTCGACTTCGAGTACAAGCCCAGGGATTTCGCGTGCTCGTTGACTGCGCCGCCCTCGTTGCAGGGCCAGCAAACCCAAGGTCTGCTACGGGTGGACGTTCGCCGCCCTCGGCGGCGCGGAAAGTAATCTTCTTTCGAAGGTATCCGCCATGGTGCCTCAAGGTGGTGAAATCCCACGGTCCCGATGCCGTATCAGGTATGTTGCGTCCTCACCCCTACACAACGCACGTTCGTTAAACATTGTCCTGTTCCTTGCCTTTGGCGGCGTGCATTATGTATCGAGCTTATGCAACGCCCCCCCCCCCCGCCCCCCTCCGGCATCTCCTCAAATGCTGCACCTACGTGTCCGCGCGGCAAAGGAGGCAGCTGCCCAGGGGAGACGTATCTTGGCCGAGGGGACTGAAGGTGTCCTCCCCCTGGCCTCTGAGACTCGCGCCTCATGGGGAGTCACATTGGTGGCGCAGGCTGACTTAATCGTGTTCGTTCGCAGGTCTTGGGGGGTTAGCGAGTAGCGATCCCGGCGCGGTGGCTGGGATTTTGCCCTTTCGGGGGTTTGTGCCAGTCATCGCGGGCTGGTGGTCCTGTCGCTCCCCCCCCTTGCCCTCCCTTTTCAGCAGCCCCTTTCGATCATGTATTGGTGGGAGTGAAAAGTGAACCACCAGAAATGGATGGGGGGCGACGGAGGAAGAACGAGGAGGAACAGGCGGATGATGGTGATGGTGATAGTGATGATGATGTTGCTGATGTTGCTGGTGATGCTGATGATGATGATGGTGATTGTGAGGATGACGGTGATGATGATGGCTCTGATGGTGACGATGGTGGTGGTAATTGTGGTGATGGTGAGGATGAAGATGAGGACGAGGACGAGGATGAGGACGAGGAGGAGGAGGAAGAGCAGTTGCAGGAGCAGGAGGAGGAGGAGGACGAGGAAGAAAAGGGTGGCTCCTG